ACATTGCAACAAGGATAAAATGACCAGTCATAGTAATAGTTCAGGCTCCCCTTTTGGGTTTCTGCTACCCAGAAGCACACATGGAAGTAGCAAAATTCAGTTGTGTTCTTTGGCCAGGGGAGGGGGGTTGTTTTATTTTGTTTTGTTTCGTTTTTTTCAAGACAGGATCTCACTCTGTCTCCCAGGCTGGAGTGCAGTGGCATCATCATAGCTCACTGTAGCCTCAAACTCCTGACTCAAGTGATTCTCTTGTCTCAGCCTCCCAAAGTGCTAGGGTTATAGGTGTGAGCCACTGCGCCGGCCTATATTCTTTTGCCTCAGGTATAAGAAGGAATGGATATGTCTGTTTTGGATTTGGACCTCGTCAGTGATACCAGACATCGAAAAGGAAGGTGTGATTATTTACTTCAGCTCCGAGGCTTCAAATCTTGGCTGATACTTCATTCCTTGGCAGTGTAGATGGGTTTTTGTGTCCCACCCGCTATCTTTTTTACTCTTTCCCACCCCCTCCCTGCTTTATGCAAATAGAAGTTGGGAGAAGAGCTTTGTGTGAACTTCAGCTGCACTTGCAGCTGTGTCTGGGTTTGGTGTCTTGGTGTTAAAAAGTGCTCTGTTGTGTTAGGTTCCGCTTGGATACGGCTACTTTATACATACACAGTGAAGTAGTGAAGAGGGAGAGGAAGGCAGGGTTTGAATGCAGTTGGGGGACGGGGGCAGGCAGGGCAGCAAGTGTCTTCAGAGCAGGGCTGCAGGCAGCCTTGTATGAAAAACTGGGTTTCCTAGAGCCAGATTGGAGTCATGAAAGAAAGTTAACAGGTTCATTAACACTTTACTTACATGAGTAATTTACACTGTTGATTTTAGCTATTGGAACTTTATCCACAGCCCTAAAAAAATTGAGATGGGAGAGAAGAAAATCAAGATGTCTGTAGCACATAACTTGGGCACTTTTTCTTAATAGAATTTGGTTTTTGATTACAAAAATCCTAAAATAGTATGTGTGATTTTTTTTTTTTTTTGGAGACAGAGTCTCACTCTTTTTGCCTGGGCTAGAGTGCCGTGGCATCAGCCTAGCTCACAGCAACCTCAAACTCCTGGGCTCAAGTGATCCTTCTGCCTCAGCCTCTCGAGTAGTTGGGACTACAGGCATGCACCACCATGCCCAGCTAATTTTTTCTATATATTTTTAGTTGTCCGATTAATTTCTTTCTATTTTTAGTAGAGACGGGGTCTCGCTCTTGCTAAGGTTGGTCTCGAACTCCTGAGCTCAAACAATCCGCCCGTCTCGGCCTCCCAGAGTGCTAGGATTACAGGCGTGAGCCACCGCGCCCGGCCCTGATACTTTTTTTAATTGAAATAATAAATGTATAAACTAAAAAGTCTCTTCTACCCTCAGTTTCATTCCTAGGGATAATCACTGTTAATAGTTTCGTGTCTTCCACATTTTCGGTGTGTGTGTTAACATGTTTATACATGATCACAAAGGTTTTTTTAATATACTTAGGATCATAATAAATAATATAATCATCATAATAAATATTTTTGTTGCAACTTGCTTTTTTCCCCTACTTGGTGTATCTGACGTAAATGAACATCAAAAAATGCCTTTATGACTGACCTTACACCCTCATACCATACAGTACTCTATAGCAAATTTCAAGATGACTAATCATTGGGTCATTAGGTAAGGACATTTAAAATATGCCCAATATTGCCAGATTTCCTTCAAAAATTCCTAATTCACATTCATTATGATTGCTACAAAAGTGAATACAGTCTTCAGCTGGATACAAAAATAAGGTATCAAGAACAAGAGAGGGAGTTTTCTTGCATGATGAGGCCAGGACATGGCCATAAGCTCTGCTGCATGTGCTCCAGAACAGAGATGGCCCTCCTGGAGCCAACTGGTAACTTGTTGTTTGGGCATTGATCTCACCTCAGAGGACCTGTTCATCCCACATCAGAGCTGTATGCTTAGATTGGGTTCTCCTTCAGGTGTGTGTATGTGTGTTTAATCACTTATCCTTTCTAATTGCTTTCTTTTAATTACCTTCTATGTTTTACAATGACAGATGAAGCTCAGAAAATAAATAGGGTAATTGAGGTTAGTTCATGTTGTAGATGAGAAAAATTGGGCAAATTTTTCTTCCTAGCTGGCCTTCCCATCCTCTTAACAAAAGAGTCGTCTTTTTCTTTCCAAGGTTAATACCTTGATATTAAGTTTAACCACCAAAGAAAGGCTAGTTTGGTTTAAAAAGAAAAAAAAAATTGCCTCCAGTAGCAGTTTAGCTTATTCATAAAGCATATCTTGACCTAAATTCCGTTATTTCTTACATAACTGCAAGATTTCCGCCAAGCTGTTCAGACCAGTAGCGACTCAACAAAAACACAGATAATAGGTCTTTTTCTGGCCACGTCTTAAATCTAACCTCAACAAATTATCATGGAGTCCTAAATTTCCTAGAAAGAATGGTTAGAAGAAGGTGAAAACAAGGATCTATAGTCAGAATCTTTAGATCTTTTTTTTTTAATCATTCTGCCTCTTACTTAAACATTATCCAACTGATCGATCTTCTTGCAGAACTGGATTTCCAGATGGTTCTCTTGCCATTTACGTCCCTCCTCATCATGCTACCAAAATAAACCAGGCCAGGCTTTACCCACTTCAGATCACCCTTCCTAGAAAAACGAAGAGCCCACACTAGCCTATTAGGACCATGGTAGAACCCTGTCTCATTCCTTCCTAGTAATCCTCAACCTCTCACAAAATAGTTTGTTTCAGATCTCCTTCTCCCTAAGGAGACTCTACAAGTCAGCTAACCAAAATCCAGGACATGAGGTTTAATGTTTATTCCCTCCATTTGTTCTCCTCACGTGCTCATGCCTCATCTCTTTATACTGTGTCCACAGCCTGTCTTCCTACACTGTATGTGTCTATGGAAATTCCCTCGTTGCTACTCCTGATGTCCAGTGATGCTCCTCACTCAGTTCCCAGGCAGCTCTCTACTGAGAGCGCAGGTTCTTAGGCTAACACTTATGTTTATTTCGTCTAGTTTTTGCTAATGATAACAGGTAGTATTTATCCACAGAACTGGCTGCTCCTAAAAACTAAGATGTTACATTTCCCTAACCCATTAAAATGACTTAATACTGTTATTCAACAGAAATATGATATAAATCATATATGTAATTAAAATTTTTCTAGTAGCCACATTAAAAAAATTTAAAAACAGCCAGGCATGGTAGCTCAAGCCTGTAATCCCAGCACTTTGGGAGGCTGAGGCAGGAGGGTCTTTTGAGTCCAGGAGTTTGAGACCGGCCTGGGCAACATAGCAAGACCCTGTCTCTATAAAAAATAAAAAATTAGCCAGACATGGTGGCACATGCCTGTAGTCCTAGCTACTTGAGAGGCCAGAGGATCACTTGAGGCTAAGAGTTTGAGGCTGCAGTAAACTATGATTGCACCACTGCACTCCAGCTTGGGCAACAGAGCAAGATCTTAGATCTGAAAAAAATAACAGGTGAAATGATAATGATGTTTTATTTAATCTAGTGTATCTAAAATATTGTTTCTATGTGTAATCAATATGAAAAATTATTTTTTGTGCTGTCTTCAAAATTTAGTGTGCATTTTATACTCATGGCACATTTTGTTTTATGTTAGCCATACTTCAAGTGCTCAGTATCTGTATGTGGCATGTGACTGCTCTGTTGAACAACATAGCACTAGAAAGTGATTTCCAGTGACCCAGGTTTTGCTGTGAAAATAATGGGATGGGGACTTTATTAAAAAGACACAGGTATATTAACTCTCCTTATGCTTATACTCTTTATACTACTTCCAGAGATCTAGATGTTCATTTTATTTTACGTTCAGGTTAATTTTCTTTGTCAGCCCTGAATTAAATTAATTTAGAGTGGTTTCCATTTTCTGACCTATTATCAGTAATATGGTTTCTGAGTTTCCTGCACATAAAATAACTTATTTGTAAGCTAACTAATTTGCGTCCCAGAAAGATTATCTTGAATACTGAAACACTTTATATCCTTCAAGATTCATGCAGATTTTTTAAAGGAAACTAAAATATTCTGTGAATGTGTCACCCAGTATAATTTTGGGTACTTGAAAGCTAAGATTTGCAGTGGCACTGCCAAAGTTCCACGTAGAGAAATGCATATCTTTGCAGCTAAGGCCACATCAACTCTTCCAGAGTGTTTAACTCTGGTGTTATGTTCTAAAATAGACACCAACCAAAGGGATCACTTCTAGAAGAGAGCACTTGGGAAGGATGGGTGGACTTGAAATGTTAGCATGTGAAGAACTATTAAAAGGACAGGAGAGGGCTGGGTGAGGTGGCTTACACCTATAATACTAGCACTCTGGGAGGATCACATGAGGTCAGGAGTTCTAGACCAGCCTGAGTAAGAGCGAGACCCTGTCTGTACTAAAAATAGAAAAAATTAGCTGGGCGCAATGGTGCATGCTGCAGTCCCAGCTACTTAGGAGGCTGAGGCAGGAGGATCATTTGAGCCCAGGAGTTGGAGGTTGTAGTGAGCTGTGATGACACCACTCCACTCTAGACTGGGTCACAGAGTGAGATTCTGTCTCAAAAAAAAAGACAGGAGAGGCTCACTTTTCCCAGCAAAGACTCAAGCAATCTGGAAAGTATTTTTAAATATCTGAAGGCTTTTTCAAACAGGGGATTAGATGTGTCCCGAATGGGCCCAGAGAGCAAAAGCCCTAAAAGGGTGAAGGTTACAAGGAAAGAAAGATCTTAGATTTAACATGGAGAAGACCTCGATGATGGTAACAGGTATCCAAATGAAAATATACTACTCAAAAAGTAATGCCTTTGTTCTCCCTGTAGGCGGTGCAGGAGGCAAGATGGCTGTGTCTCTGTGATGAAGTTGTGGGAATTCAGGTATCAGGTAGATGTTACTTGTGTTATCCAATCCTGAGAACCTCTCCTGGTGTCATTTCTCTTCCCCTTTTCTTATAGCTGGAACAACAGAGACAGCAGTTGCTTACTGAACGCCAGAACTTCCACATGGAACAACTGAAGTATGCCGAATTACGAGCCCGACAGCAAATGGAACAGCAGCAGCATGGGCAGAACCCTCAACAGTCACACCAGCACTCAGGAGGACCGGGTTTAGCCCCACTTGGAGCAGCAGGGCATCCCGGTATGATGCCTCATCAGCAGCCCCCTCCCTACCCTCTGATGCACCACCAGATGCCACCACCTCATCCACCCCAGCCAGGTAAGAGGAAAGCCCTGCTCATGGAAAAAGCTTGTGCTTATCCCTGTGGCCCAGAGCATCAGAGGGGCCAACCACATCATTAGTGTTTCCTGACAAGAACTATTCAGAATTTCCATTGTCATCTAGGAAATTGTTGGCAAGTAAGACCTGATTTTACCATCACATAAAGCCTGCCTTGCTCTCTTTCCAGAGTTCTCTTGGAACAATGCCTTTTCCTTGGGTAGGTCAGCCTCTGAATGGGCAGTAATATCTCAGAGTTCCTTGGAAATTTATTATTGTTTTATCTACACTTAATTGTTTATGAGACAGGGTCTCACTCTGTCATCCAGCATGGAGTGCAGTGGCACGATCATAGCTCACTACAGCCTCAAACTCCTGGGTTTAAGTGATCCTCCTGCCTCAGCCTCCCAATGCACTGGGATTACAGGTGCTGCCATCGCACCTAGCCACTTTTTTTTTTTAGCTTACATTTTCAAAGATACACACAAAAAAAGAATATATTAATACTACAGTGAACTCTCATGAACTCCTAGCTTCAACAACCATTACTTATCTGCTATTTTTGTCTTTTTATTATAGAAATCTTCAACTTGATACAAAAAGTAATGAGAATAATCCCTTATGTGCCTATTGCGCAGCCAACATTTCAGTCTGTTTTTATCTGTTCCTCTCTACTTTGGGGAGGGAGATAGATTTCAGAAGATGTCTCTTAACCAATGGGACTCTTACTCCTTAACGTAACTTACTGTCAGCACGTCAAAGTAACCACAATTCCTAGTATCATTAGTTAAATGTCTTTCTTTAGTAAGTTTGAATCAGTATTCAAATGAGATCCACAGACTGCATTTGTTGACATGTCTCTTAAATCTCTTTTAATATGTAATAATTCATCTTCCTTTTTTTAAGGCCATTTTTGAAGAAACTAGGGTTTTCTACACTGCGCCTGTCGCTGATAATACACTAAAGGTGCATGGTGTCATGTCACATGTCCTTCTCCCCTCTTTCTTCTCTCCCACACATTTCCCATAAACCAGAGGATTGCTCTGGATATTTTATTAGGTTCAGGTTCACTTTTTTGGGGCAGGCATTCTACTTAAACGTCAGTTGTCTCTTTTTGTGACAATGAGATTGGTCCGTCATTCTGGTGTTGTTAGTGTGATTAATCCATTACAAAGATCCCCTTTAGACTTCACCGAATTATTTTAGCTGCCATTGAGAATTGCTCCCTCTAGCTCTTACTTCGAAGTGGGGAAAAAAAGAGGAAAAAAAAAGAAAGAGAATCGCTCCCTAGATCAGTTATTTCTTCAAGCATCGCAAAATGATGAGATTTCTAAGTTTATTTATAATTTCCTCTGCATTTATACAATAATTCTTTTATAAAAAACTTCTTTCTCATTCATGTATTCTGAAAATCAGTTCTTATGGGAAAGGCTGGATAAATGGTTCATGTTTTCCCTTCATCAGTTATCTGAATAATGAGTTGCCCCTCAGTGTCCAAAGATGACCAGAGAGGGTTTTTTTCTGTTCCGTGTGTATGTTTTTAGTTTTATGAAATGATTTGGTATATTTTGTGTGTTTCAATCTGTTAGGGACATTATTCTTTTAAATGCTTATATTAACTCATTTATAGCGTGTGGTGGGAACCTTTTCAAGTTGGCTACTATTTGTCACATTTTTAACCACCTTGAAAGTTGAACTCACAGTTCTTTCAAACTTAACTACCAGCATCACTAAAACCTAAAATGTACCTTTTTTTTTTTTTTTTTTTAAGAGGCAGGGTCTCACTCTGTCATCCGGGCTAGAGTGCAATGGCTCAATCATAGCTCACTTTAACCTTGAACTCCTGGGGTCAAATGATCCTCCTGCCTTGGCCTCCCAAAGTGCTGGGATTACAGACGTGAGCCATCGTGCCTGGCCTGGAATGGATCTTAAATTCTCTTTATGGGATCTAATTTTCTTTAGTGTTAAGCTTTCAGAAGATACAAATGCTTAACAGAGTACAGATCACAAAGTAATTTTTTAAAAATAATATTTAAAAATTTAATTCCTAACATATTGGGATAAATATATTTATTGTTGTTATATGGTTCCTGATAATGTTAAAGTGTCATGTCCACACTAAGTGTTTGCAGAGAATGTCTAAGGAACATCTGCATTTATTTTGTAAAAGATGGGCAGAGAAATGCATCTGTTTTCTTCCCTAAATGACATTCTGGTGATAGTACATGTTTGTATGCTGTGCTCTTTACCCACATTGTTTTGCTTACTTTTTATTCTTATTTAACAGTTGAAGAACTAACGCATGACAAGGCTACATTGCCTTATTGCGTGATGGAGCCAGGACTCACACTGAGCTCCATCTGATTCTAACGTGAGGCCAGTGCCACAGTGCTGCCTCCCATGACAGAGGACTGAGAGGGGATTTACGACAGACTTGGAGCTATTCTCCTAGTGAAGTGGTGCCAGCAATGTAGATTTCATAAAAATAGTCTTTCGAAAAGAAATAGGTCATTTTTCTCTTTTTACTTTCTCACAGAAATAGGCTTTTCTAAAGTGAATTTGTAAGAGAAAGAATCTCTCTGTGTTGCCCAGGCTGGAGTGCAGTGGCTATTCACAAGAACGATTATAGCACACTATAACCTCGACCTAACTCCTGGGCTCACACGATCCTCTCGCCTCTACCTCCCAAGTTACTTGGACTATAGGCGTGTGGTACCTGGCCCAGCTACACTTGGCTTTTTAAGCCCCTTGATCTACTTACATAACCCTACCCCGTGGGAAATGGTACTCAGGAAAGGATTAAAACCAGTCATCACTTCCTAAGCCACCCCTGTACACAACCCCACACTGAAAAGGAGAAGGAATAGACCATCACATCAGCCAAGTTTTTATTATCTTGGAGCCTTTGGTCCTACTTGCATCATGTGATAACAAGGCTGCCATGCCACTTTCCGGAGTAGCAGGTTACCCTCACAAAGAGAACAGTAAGGGCCCAGTCCTCAACAAAGAGAGTCTGTCGCAGGCGCCCCCAGGAAGCTGCTATGGGGAAGGAGCAGTCTCTGAGGAGCCTGGGCTTCCCCTCACTTGGCCCTGATTATATTATTTCCGTTCTCCTGGGGACTCAGCCAGAGGATGTGCTGTGGACAGTTAGAAATGGATTGATGAAGTGTGCTCAAGACTAGAAATTCACAGATTCTTTTTTCTGGATTCATTTTCTGTTCCCACTTTCCTGTCTCATCCCAAAGAATAAAAATAAAATCCTTCACTAATATTCCATTAGGCATCATGGATATAATGCTTTAGTAAAAAATCTAATAAATCTGAGAGTGTGTAAGGGATTTTTCTACTAGTTAAACCTAATTTTAACAAACCTTTCCACTTTTCAGGCTTCAGATGCCTGCTGCTTAAAAAAAAAAAAAGCTTGTATGTAGGTCAGACTCCCACCATTCTGTGCTTTGATACTGCTGTTTTGAAGCCACATCTCTCCTCTCTTTCACTTTCCCCCTCTCCCTCTCTGCTGGGCAAGGAAATACCTCAATTTTTTTTTTTTTTTTTTTAAATAAAAGAGACATACACTGTACACACCCTTTTTTTGTTTGGTAAGGCCTGCTCCTGTGCATTTCAGGTTTGTGTGGGCCAGACTTCTTTTTTATTTTTTGAGACAGGGTCTCGCTGTTTTCTGGGCTAGAGTGCAGTGGTATCATCAGAGCTCACAGCAAACTCAAACTCCTGGGCTCAGGTGATCCTCCTGCATCAACCTCCCAAATAGCTGGGACTACAGGTGTGCGTCATCACACCATCTAATTTTTTTTATTTTTGTAGAGATGGGATCTTGCTATCTTGCCTAGCTGGTCTTAAACTCCTGGCCTCAAGCAATCTTCCTGCCTCAGCCTCCAGAAGTGATGGGATTATAGGTGTGAGCCACTGCACCCAGCCCTACACTTCTTAATATTAGTAAGAATTAGTGGAAATGCTTTCAGACATCATTCATTTAAAAGTGATGAGACATGTATCTTACATCAAAAGAACCACAAGGATGTTTCAGTTTCTTTATAAGAAATTGATTTTTTTCTTCCCAATCCTGTTAAATTCTACCCTATTTCAAATTTGATCCTTAGAAATCCTTTTCCAAGGGGAAGGGTACTCCTTATGGCAGGGAGGGTTAAAGAAAAAGAGAATGAGCCTCAGGATCAGACAGACCTGAATTTGAATCTCAATTCAGTTTCTTCTTTGTTGTGATTTTGTGCCAAATTACATAGCCTCTCTGAGGCTTTGTTTTCTTACCTCAAAACTAGGCCTCATCTTTCTAACGTGGAAGATTCCGAGAGTTAACTGTCCCATTGCCTGGCAAATGGTAGACCCTTACTCACGAGTATTCTCATCTCCTCCCTGGTCTGTTCTCTAAATCTACTGCCCTAGGTACACCAGCGCTGTGAGTTGTGTAGCATGTGACAGCAGTAGCCTCTGGACAGCACAGGGACGTCATTCACTCTTAGCATACTCCTTGCTTTCCTGAGAGGTGTTTGTCTTGCAAGGTCCAATAAGCAAAAGTAAATTATTTTTCCTCTAGCCTTCCTTTTGGCTGCCACCTCTCCCAAGGAGCCATTGTCCTCTTTTACCCTGAACACCCGTACCCTAGTGGCTTTATGACCCTGTATGTGAGTAGGATAGAGAAACTTTGTTTTTCAGAATGCTTCAGAATTTATAGTACACAAAAGGAACAATTTTTTTGTTTGTTTTTTTAGTTGGGCTTATAGCCTTGGAAAACTCTAAAGCTGTCCTATCCCGGCTTGCTGTCATAAAGATGTAGGGAAATAGGTAAATGTGCCACTGCCACTGAGCAGGTAGCTTTGGAAACAGTAGTGCTGGGCCTGAGAGCAAGAGCCAGAAGGCTTATCCCAGTGCATAATGGGTAGGTGTAACCTCATGGGTCTGTGTCAGTCAGCCAGTGATGTTCCTCTTTGCCAGATTGTTTCTTGACTAGTTCATTTCTCTGCTGG